TCAAAAAACTGAAAAACACAATAGCATACAGTATCCAGACTCTCTGTGTATTTTCCATCTTTACGTGGCTTATTTATTTACTTATCTATTATTATTACTGTATTTCTTTTACTTTTATTTCTTTATTTCTTTATTTGTTTCTCTGAGACAGGGTTTCTCTGGAAATCCACTTGCCTCTACAGCAAATCCTACTGGCGTGCACCACCATAGCCAGCTTCTCCATTTATTTACCACTATGCCCTTTCTTTTTCTCTCTCAAGCCTACGTATATTTTTAAACACATTGTAAACCTTTAGAGGTTTTTCTTCATCCAAGTCTGACTTTACTGTAAATCTCTATGTTTTTCTGGCCACGTGTGTTAGTCTTATCTGTTAAAACCGCGGCCGTTTAAACTGCAGTTTTTCTGAGATGGCGGGTGTAAGCGTGACTCCAGCTCACTGTCTCAGTCTATGCTGAGATCCAGCAAAAGCTGTCGGCTTGGAGATGTGGTCACTGCCACTTCCAGCTGTACGTACACACCTTTCAATAGTTAGCACAGCCTCTTAAAAGAACCTTGTCGGGTTTTTTTGTTGTTGTTGTTGTTGGTTTTTTTTGTTTTGTTTTGTTTTTGCTTATACTGAGTCAGGAAGACTCCCTTAAGCGAGCTGCATGAGTCTCTGCTTGTCCCTAGCAAAACAGAGCTCACCTGAGAAAATGCTGGTACCAAAAACCCATGCTTTTCTCCATTCTTTTGTTTCTAAAACTCCTTTAAAGCTTTTGTCATTCTACGTGGAAATTCAATCCCGCTCCTGACAACCATTTGTAGAGAGAAGCCTTTTCCTTGCCACCGCTTGGTTTTACCCCACCAGTCCCCTGGGCTCTGCCACGTTGTAGTCCCCAAATAACACACAAGACGCTGTATTAATTATGAAGCTATTGGTCTTGCTTGTTTCTTACTGGCTAGCTCTGACTTAAGTATTTTTCCCATAATTGTTAATCTAGTATTTCTCTTACTGGAGAAGTTTCTGGGCTTCTTATCCCTATGGCAGTTACATCTTGACTTGAGAGACCCTACTCTTGTCTTATATACCTCTCTAGTACTGGGATTAAAGGCATGAACTCTGTTTCCCTTTTAACGTGATTCAATCTCATGTAGCTATGAGTGGCCTTGAACTCACAAAGATTCATCTGCACCTGTCTTCTGAGTCTTGGTATTAAAGTTGTGTTCCACCACTGACTGGCCTCTTTGGTTGTGGGTAGCTTTGCATTTTCATCTCCAGGCAAGTTTCATTAAATCATAAATAATATAACACCACATTTCATAGAATCCCACATTTTCGGGAGGTTTTGCAGCAGGAAAATATTTAGATATAACATTTTCTTTGACATTATCCACCTTCAATGCCTCAGATTCTCTCTTCCATCTCTTGTATTTTACTAGTGATCTTTCCTGTATGGTTCCTGCTCAGATTTCCCTCACTTTGGGTTTACTTTATTGATTCTATTTCAACTTCCTTCCATTGTTTGTGTTTTCATAGATTTTAAAGGGATTTATTCGTTTCTTTTTATGGACTTCTACAATATGCATAAAGATTATTTTAAGGTCTTTTTCCTGTGCTTCAGCTATGCTGTGATTCTCAGTGCCTGCTATAGTAGGGTTGCTGGGCTCAAGTGGAGATATATTGGCCTATCTGTTATTGGTTGTACTTTGTGCTGGCATGTAGACATCTGGGATTTCAAGGATTGTAACTCTAGGTCTTGTCTTTTTTGGTGGGTGTTTTGTTCCTTGGTTTCTGTTGCCCTCTCTGGTTCTTAGGAGAGTGGTGGTTCTGTGTTATCTGGCAGGAAATTCTTCTCGGGTCCTGAAAGGTGTGGCCACTGGGGATTCCAGGTAAAATGTGTTTCTGCGTATTGAGAGCTGACACTCAGGAATAAGGATGGACTAGGAGAGAGGTTTGAGGGGGTCCACAGGAAGGAGGAATGCAAGGTGTTCCACCAAGATCGCTTAGTCCCGTGTCCCAAGGGCCGGAGACTGTGGAGAGGCCACAGCAGAAGGTCATCTACAGAGTTGTACGATAGAACGGGTGACTGGAGTTGGAGTAATAGAGGTAACAGTGAAGAGCTTCAGTTAGTCTACCTGCTTCCCTGGCCTGGGTAGGTTGTAAGTTCCAAGGGAATGCCTGCTGGATTTGGGAGGTGAGATAAAGTCGAGTGAGACAAAGGACGTTTGGAGGGGAAGATCTGTCTGTTCCACTAGAGATGGGCATGGGGGAGAGGAGGAGGATGCAGAAGATGCAGCTGCAGAGCTGAGGGTGAGACTGGGGGACTGGCTTTGGGAGAGTGGAGTAAGAGGTGAAGAGCTGCACTGCAGTTAGCCTACCTGCTTCCCTGGCCTGAGTGGGCTGTGAGTTCTCAGGAAGCACCTGCTGGAGTTGGAAGCTGGGATAAAGCAAAGAGTAGGTGGTAGGGGATTGAGAAGGGAAGAGCTGTGTGCTCCACTGGAGATGGGCATGGGGGAGAAGATGCAACAGTGGTCTGTTGCAGAGCTGTAGATGAGACTGTGGAATTGGATTGGGAGGTGCTGAAGGAGACTTGAAAGATCCTCTTTCCTGGCCAGAGTGCCACTGAATTATTTACTTTAAAAGTTGAACCTCATTGTATGTGAACTATATCTCACCTAATACTAGTTGGCCTTGGTTTCTGTTGCTGTGATAAGCACTATGATCAAAAGCAACTTTGGGACAAAGAGTTTATTTTACGTTTTGCAGTCAGTCCATCATGAGGGGAATTCAGGGAAGGATCTTGAGGTAGGACCTAACGCAGAAGCTGTGTAGGAACACTGCTTACTCTCTTGCTCCCTGTGTATTTCTCATTCTACTTTTTTTGTATCACCCAGTCTCACCTGCCCAGAAATGACACCACCTGCAACGGCCTAGGCCCTTTTGTATCAAGAACCCATCTAAAAATAATGCTGCATGCTCTTGCCTACAGTCCAATCTGAAGGAGGCATTTCCTCAGTTGAGGTTCCCTCTTTTCAGATGACACTAGCTTGTGTCAAGTTGACAAAAATTTAAAAATCGCAAGCAAACACATTAGAAAACATTTTCAAGTAATTAAAATGAAACAAAATTAAGAATTCCTCTTTTTTTCAGGAATGGGCAAGGTGGAGTATACCTTTAATCCCAGAACTTGCAAGACAGAGGCAGGCAGATTACAGAGAGTTTGACATCATATTATGTATGTCATGAACTCCAGGGCAACCTGTGGTTGGATATTCACCACAGAAGTTTGCTCGGATATGGCTGTAAGCCAGCAGAAAAGTCTTTATTAACCAGCCAGCAACTGCACTGAATCTTTGGGATTCCAATGTAGCCCTGAGGCTTTCTCGGGATGAGTTTTTTAGAACAAAACCCATGTTCTGGACTGACATACTTTAGTTAACAAGAGTGGTTAGCCAGAATCATTAATACAGAAGCTAAAAAGCAAGGTTGGTAAATTTTGAAACTTTCACACAACTATATGGACTTTGACAGATTAGGTCTTTGTTTTCATTTTTGGCAGTTGGTACTGTCTATGCCCTGAGTTTTACAGGCTGAGTGGCACTTCTATAATGGAGTCAATTGTGCTAAGGTCTGGGGGCCCACTAAGAGGTTTAGAGCCCAGCTACATTCCTTTCTGATCTCAGTGAATGAGTCAAATCAAGGACTCATCCTGTTTTTAGTTTAAGGTATAGGGCCTTGTTGCTAATCCAATTAGAATGAAAATTAAAGGTCCAGTCAGTGCTGATAGCAGAGTATTTAGCCATTGAGGACCAAGAGAACAGAGACTGGTACCAATATTTTCCTAACCATGGCATGATTTTTTTTTAAATTTCTGATCAATAGAAACATGTTTCTCCCAAAGCCATATACAGTTTTCCTTTATCTCATGAAAAGACTAAACTGAGCCTTTCCAATTTTGTAAGACTATTTCTGCAAGGAAATCTAACTGTTGTTTTAATATAGGAATGGAAACTTTAAATAACTCCAGGTCCTGATCAACCTGTCTACTTAGTTTGGAAAGCATTAGAAGAGGCACATTTAGTCAAACTATCGGTACATGCCCACCAAGTAGTTTCTGGGGCTCAGTAATATTACTATTATGCAGATAAATTAACCCATAAGTCAGAATAGAATAACAGGCATCAGAATAAGGGGAAGTCACTAGGTTAAGTCCTCTAATATTAATTTGGGCTGCAACCAGTCATGGTGAATTTTGTCAGTCAATGGACTGACAGTCTGGTTAGTTCCTATCCTTTGTAGTACCTGGAGAGGGGAAGGGGTGGCAGGTGTCTAAACATAACCAGCAATCCTGACTGATTTCTGGCTGGGAATGTTTAACTCTATCCCCAGTGTCCCTTCTTGTGGCATAGAGTCTGATTCCCCTAGGTGTTTCCTGTTTCCCAAAAGCCAGAATATTTTTAAAGGAATTCTTTTAGGACATTTCAGCTTCATAAGCCCAGTTTTTGCCATAGAAACTCCCTTGATTCTGGCAACTAGGGGGTTCACCCATATATACTTCATATTCCTATCTCAAAAGATAAACCCCCATATCTTTTTCTTTCTCTAGTTCAACCAGACATTTAAAGGGGGCATCAGTGAGCAAAGGTCAAGATGAATATGGGTTGCTGTTCTGTAGTCACATCAGCTAAATAGGTTCCCTGTTATCTGTATGCCTTAGTTCCCAGGTCCAGGCCTGAGGGCCATGGGAGTTGAACCCTGTATTCATACCAAACACAAGTCTTAGTAGGAACTAGAGGAGCATGGAGTGTAAGGGTCCCAGATCCAATTAAAACTTAGTTTCAGTGGGTTTATAATCTTGAGGCTGTCCATTTGGCAACAGCATCTGTGACTTCTGTTTTCTTGAACTTAGTGTTGTGGATCCATGGTGTGATGTCAGCTACCTTCATCATAGTAGGAGACAATCACCTTGTAGGGTCCTTCACAAGTTAGTTCCAGTGCCACTGTGGCAACTTGCTTGACTCAGACATTATCACTGGACGTGAACAAAGAGAAACTGTTGGTGGACACATAGGTCAGCTGGATCTCCCAAATAGTCCAATGAATAGCCTATATAGAGAAATGGAGGGCCTGTAGTGACTTGAGAATGTGCCGTGCCTGCTGCGCAGCCTGTATCTGAGAATGTGGCGAGGGTGTCGGGATTGATGACACAGAGACCCAAAGGCTCCTCAAGAAAGCTCTCTTTTATTCCTATTCTGGCTGGTTATTATATACCCTGACACCAGAGGTGGAGATGGGTGGGTCTGAAGAGGTGGATAGTCTTTGGAAAAGGTCGAGGTCAGGGCAGTTCCCGTGGGCCAGCCCTTTTCAGGAACTTATTGCCCCGGGCATTGTATAGTTTTTAATAAACATGTTTTTAGTAAACATTGTCTTACAGCTGCCTACTCCCAGGCTGATGGGGAAGTGGGTCTCTGAACAAGGTCTGGTGTTCCCACAATTCCCCCTTTTTTATTTTCTAATGAGTCACTCCTGGCTTAGGTCAAGTAGGGTCACTCTCCCTTGCCCGTCTTCGGGGGACCTTGAACCCCTGTCTTAGGTGGGAGGGGTCTTCCCCACAGGTTGTCCGTCAACGGAAGAACCTCATCCTTAAATCATCTGTAACCAAACTTCATGGCTATCAGGATTGCCATGGGCTAAGCTAAGCAATACTTGGCTACAGATCTCTTGCCTCTGGAACAAGGCACGTTTGAGCTCGGCATAAAGCCAGAATGCCTACCGCCACTGCCATCATTTCCAGGACCTCCATTGGCATAGCGCCCCTCCATCACCATACCCATCACCAGATCTGGGCCATAACATTCTACCAGCCTTCCTCTGTTACAAGGGTAACCCGCATGTGATTTACATTTACAATTTGATGGTCAAAACAGTGATAAAGTTTACAGTCGTTCTAAGATCTGCTCAGGAAAGCATTTAGAAAGTGCACTTGCACAGATACATTGGGCACAATCATTGATGTTACACATGTAACATATTACTGTATTTTCATTATCTACAACAGTAGCAACAATGGAAGTAACTTCAGGCTCAGGAGCAACGGGAACACTTCCCACAGTATTAGTAGTGGAAGTATTGGCATTAGCAGCTGCTGCGGTAGCTGCAGCAGCTGCAACAACAGCAGCCGCTGCTTCTACCGCAGCCATGGTGCTCATAGTGGTAGGAATTTCTGTTGCAGGAACTGGGGCTGTTGATGCTGTAGTACATTCTTCTTTCTTGCTGCTTTCCTCAGCTTTGATCATAACATGCAGGTTTGATTTTGTAATAAGACCTCCAGCAACAATGGTATTCTGGTATCCTTCAAGATCCTCAAGTTCCTTGGGTTTGGCCCAGCGGGACTCTTTCGTTTGAGAATTATAGTAATAAGGCTTCCCAGAATCAGATTTGTACTCTTTCCATGGGCATTTAGACAAGAGTTGCTCAGCAGGGGTTTTAAGATCATCTGGTTTTTCCCAGGTAGACTGTTTTGTTTCAGTATTGTAATAGTAAGTCCTTCCATCAGGTGATTTATGTTCGGTCCACACTGATTTTGCACCAGATGCTGCACCTGCTGCTACATCCATACTATTTACTCCAGGCGGTAAGGCAGGTTGCATGGACGCCTGAGACATATGAAACATCATCATTCCTGACATTACTGAAGACATCATTCTAGGCATTTGTCCCATTGGAGGCCCCCCATAGGGGGCATCATCTGTGGCATCATTCCATGAGGTACAGGAGGCATGTTTGCTCTCTGACCCATTGGGTGCATTCCCATTGGTGCATAATGCATGCCAGGATGCCCCATCATGAGGCCTCCACGCTCGGCTTCAGTCCCCGGCCTCATTGTCGGGCTCAGACTCATTAGCAATCTTGACTATAGCTAAATTGGGACCTCTGAAAATTAAATTCAATGAAATTCTGGTGCCAAAGTTGTTAGGTATTTTAAGTAGCATACAATGGTGGACTAATCTCAAACAAGCGATTTGATTACTTAACATTTTCTCAAAGATAATGATCTTTTTCACAAAGTCATGTCTTATTTCACAACAGAAAATGACATGGCAGTGAGAAGTTCGGAACAAATTATCTCCCTTTTCTGAGTTTTTAAACAGTGGCCACTAGATTTAATTAAAACACTAGACAGGATGGAAAACTCATTTAAAGGGCAATGAAACAATTTATGCTCTATCTAAATCTCAACTTCAAAGAGACAATCTCAGCAAGTCCAAATTAAAATAACAAAGATAATACCTAAGATGATATCGAAGGCTAAGTGCTAAATTATACTTAAAAAACAAAAAACACCCTTAAAAAACCCTCCTGCACTGAAGGAAAATAGTGTAAGTTACATTACTAACCTTCAAAAGTTAGCATGTAAAGAGTATTCTATCTTTAAGCCGTTGCCTTTCTAAAACATTCCATAGGAAATTTATAGGTGAAAACACATTTAAGGACCTCAAATGCACTGATTTATGTTCATAAATATTAAAAAAGGAGAGTAATGTAGCTATCATGGGTAAAATGAAACAAAATTTCCTGTTTATTCTTTTTACCTAGGAAGAACTTTGAGGTCTATATGCACAATGAAGTATTCAATCTATGTCTTAAGCTTTAGTGATTAATTGAGAGGTTTTAGTATTAATGGAGGTGCATTTTTAGCTACTATTTGAGCAGCTTCAGTCCAGATGAGGAGCACTTTTACCCACCTGAAAAAGCTATCTATAAAAACTAGCAAGTACTTTTATCTTCCCCAGGAGGCAAGATCTTGATGAAGTAAGTTTTCCCAGAGTTCGACGACGACGTGTTGGTCTCTCCTTTGTTCCCCTTCCTTGGTCAGGACGCTCTGTTTTGGATTCATTTGAGCCCAAACCTGGCTTCTGACTGAGACATTCTGCACTAGTTCAATTCCCAGCAACCACATGGTGCCTCACAACCATCTATAATGAAATCTGGTGCCCTCTTCTGGTCCGCAGGCGCACATGCAGGTAGAACACTGTAGGCATAATAAATAAATAAAATCTTAAAAAAAAAATTATGTTTCCCTATGGTGTCCTCCAACATCCTGCGGGTTTGAACTGTCCATTTCTTCTTTACCATGGAGTCTTATATAGGGCTGAGGTAGGGGATGGGAATCTTAGGATAGAGTAAAGTGATGTGAGGAGTAAGGGCCAATAATATTCCACCAAGCAGGCAGGTAGCTAGGCAGGGGGCAACCTTACATCAGGTCTGGCTGAGTCACCCCCTCGTGGAGGTTACAGGTTAGAGACAGGTCGCCAAACTCTAGCCAGACTCAGGAAGTTACACTGGGCCTCACATCCGAGCCCTAAACTCAAGTCAGACTCAGGAGCTTACACTGGGCCTAACATCCAAGCCTTTCTTAGGCCCAACAGATTTCTTCTGAAAGGGTGAGACACCAAGATTTTGTCACATATCTGTAAGTCTGTGTCTCACCATCAGAGAAGTTAACAGTGGTTTTCAATTTATGCAAAAGTTCTAACCCTTTACATTTTTTAAACTTTTATGTATATATTTTTTTAATATCTGAGGCTGACTGGGTAATGAAGAAAATCTTTTTAGCAGCTGTCTTTAATCTTTCTAAAAAAAAGTATGTAGTGAAAATTGCTTAAGGTTTCCTTGATCAGTGTTGGACAAAAGGGAAAATATGCCCAGGATGCTTTGCCTGGCAGTAATCTCCTGGTTTTGTTGTGGTTGTTTTGTTTCGTTTGTTTGTTTAACTGTTTTTCAGTGACTGGTGGGTTTTAGAGATCACTGGTTGAAACAGAATCATAAATTATGAAAGAGAAGGGAGTGGAACTTTCTCTATTCCTTCAGTCTCAGCCCAGGGAAAATTTTCCTCTTTCCTGGGGATGCTTAGAGCAGGAACAGAACAGAAGTAATGTTCACCTGAGGGAACTGTTTCCTCTCCTTGGGTACTTAGAGGGGGGCCCCTGGATGAGCGATCCATCTCCTCCCCACCTGCACACAGGGACCACCCTAACCGTGAGCAGGAGTCAAGCAACAAAACACGCAAGTATTCCTGCTCCTGGAGTGGGACAGGTGAAGGGATTTGTTGTTGTTGTTTCTCTGGGTGACCTGACAGAGCCAAAAGGATTTGGGACCCTAACAGGAGAGGACACAGGTCTTTTTTAGTTTAAATTTAGATTAGAAACAAGGTTGCTTCACAAGTCAGTTCCAGGTCCCTCTCCCTTTCCCTCCCCTCCTCCCGTGCCCTTCCCCCAGCCCCCCAATATCCCCTCATTTCCCCAGGGAGGGTGAGGCCCTCCATGGGGGTGTCCATAGTCTGTCATTTCATCCAGGACAGGGCCTAGACCCTCCCCCAAGAGTTCAGGGTGAGAGTGCAGCTCACATTGTTGGATGGGAGTCCAAAGTCCATGTGTATACTCGGGATAAATACTGATCTACTGTGCAAGGCTCAATAGATTACCTAGGCCTCCTCACTGACGCCCACATTCAGGGGGTCTTGATCAGTCCCATGCTGGATTCCCAGGCATCAGTCTGGGATTCAAGAGTTAACCCTTGTCAGGTTAGCTGTCTCTGGGGGTTAAACCAGCCCAGTCTTAATCCCTTTGGTCATCAGTCCTCTCTCTCTGTTACTGGCTTTCTTGAGTTCAGCTCAGTACTTAACCGAGGGAGTCTGCCTCTTCTTCCATCAGCCACTGAATGAAGGTTCTGTTTCCCAGACTCTCTGGCCATGGGATTGTAGGCTGGCACTCCCCAGATCTATGTCTAAAATCCATATATGAGAGAGTACATGCCATGTTTCTCTTTTTGTGACTGCATTACCTCACTCTGGATGGTTTCTTCCAGGAAGACACAGGTCTTAAACTGAGTGGAAGGAGGGTTTCATGCCAGAGAAAATCCACTGGTCAATACAGGGTAATAAAACTGACAGAAACATATACAAAGACACACACACAGTAAAGACAACCAGGAGTGTTCATATGCCTGAACAGACAAAGGGATCCAGTGACATCGCACATGGTTCCTGAACCCTGGGTCAGCAGCAGAGTCTGGCCTCTCCTTTGTATCTAAACAGAAGGCTCTGTAACCAGACTCACCTCCGGAGGTGACAGACCAGGCAACTTTCTAATTTGTTCCCTCTTGGAGTGGAGGTGTCAGACTGAAGTGTTGGGCAGTAATTGGTTGAAGGGAGCCCTGGGCACCTGGAACATCTCAGGTTGTGCACCCGCTAGAAGTCCTCTGACTATCACACTCTTCCTCACTCCACTCCAAGGGACTCTGAGACCCTGGTGTCTGGTGTCTTAAGATCCGGTCTCTGGGATCTTGGCGGTATTGTTCTTTTGCTTCAGATATTAGCATAAAGCTGGAGGAGAATCCTGCATGCGGGGACCATGGTGGATTCTATGGCTGGCGAGGGTGACCGAGATGGGGAACAAACACACCAAGCAGACAGAGCTTGAGTGAGAAGTTTTATTAGAAAGGGGAGGGAAGGGGAAGGAAAGAGAAGAGAAGTAAAGAGACACAGACACAGAGGGAAGACAGAAGAGAAGAGGGAGACAGGAGCAGAAAAAGAGGAGAGCAGAGAGAGGAAAGAGAGTGGAAAGAGCAGAAAGAGAGAAGAGGCAGAAAGAGCAAGAGAGCTTAAGTGGGCAGGGGTCTGTCTCTTAAATGGGTCCTTTGTGTCGGGCAGTGGTGGCGCACACCTTTAATCCCAGAACTCGGGAGGCAGAGGCAGGCGGATCTCTGTGAGTTTGAGGCCAGCCTGGTCTACAGAGCGAGTTCCAGGACAGCCTCCAAAGCCACAGAGAAACCCTGTCTCTAAAAACAAAACAAAAATGGGTCCTTTGCACTGGTGTGCAGAGTAGTACTAATAGACTCCCAAGCAACATGGAGAAAGTCCATTCCACTGTCCTCTTGTCCACAGTCCGAAGAGTTCTTTGCAGCAGTTGAGGTGGAAGGCAGGATTGCTCAGTGGCTAGCATTGCCACTTTTGTGGGTGGAGTTTCTTCAGTGTCCACCAGTCTTCTTGGAGGAAATGGGGCCAGCTGTTGGCCTGTCTCTGTTATGGAAAGCTTTTTAATAAAATGTTTTAAATGCCATGTTCTCTAGATCTCTGAGCATTTGAGGGATGTCTGTCTGTTTAGTCTATTTCAGCAGACAAAATTACTTGCCTTAAGTAGATAGGTGGCTAGGCAAGGCTTTATCTCTGTAATTAATCTATATGGCTACAGATTAGTATGGCTACAATGACATTAGGGCAGGATCTGTCTGGAGAACTGGATTTAGACTGAGAGGCTGTGGAGGGATGTTTTACTTAGAGCCCTCCAGCCTGACTACAACTGGTTTTAACTGTGTAGGTTAGATTTATGCCTGTAAAGGACAAAGAAGTAGAGAAGAACCCCCTTTTGTAAGAGAAGCTTTACCTTTTTAAACAGCTTATAGGAAGGACTGGGTGGTATAAATATTTTGTTATGTTGAAATAGATCTTTATAACCTTAAATGTTTACCATCATTTAAAGATAAATAACAATTAAGAAATATTTGAGATAGCACAGTTGATTTTAAGCTGCATATAGAGTTAGGTTTCATTTACATGTATAAAGTTAGATTTAAATCACATGTACAGATACACACAGATATATCAAACAGGCCTGGGCAGAAGTAAGAAGAAAGGGAGAACCAGCGTGTAATCATTGATTTGCATGTTGTAGCAAACAGACAGGACATTTAAAGATACAGAGCAGACTTAAAACTGCCAGTGACAAGAAAGCGAATCCGCTGCAGATGGAACAGGCAAGGTTTTGTGTGAAATGTGTCCCCTACTGGGCCCTGGAAAGGCACACCATTCCACAAACAAGCCATGTACAACCGAGCCA